GAGGAGACATGTTCACTCTTGGGTTATCGCAAGACATCAATGGGGAGGTGAGTTTAAATATATTTCAAGCCATATGAGTGTTAATGTTGTTTTTTATGTTGTGAGAATATGATTTCTACAATTCTTCAAAGATTCTGAACTCCTGTCTGAAAGCTGTTGAAAGAATGTGCAGCGACAAGGTCTGTAAATTTATGGAATTTACATTTGTTTCATGATATTTGAAAGCTTGGAGTCATATAAATGCTGAATGAGTAAATCTCATAAACGTGGAAATGACAAAGAATGTCAGGCATGTCTTAGGATGTGAATTGAACATAGATGACAAAAAAGCATCCCTTTCCTCTGAACCTCTTCATTGTCCCTTTTTGTTTGTCTAATTTCTCCAGGGCATCAAGGTTTTTGCAGGGAACAGTCATGTAGTCCACACCTGGTTTCCACCTCTTTCTCTTGACCCAGGATGTCAGATTCACCACAATATAGTAATTTTTTAATTTAATTGGAAGCTGCAGGCACAAGATCTTGACTGGGTTCTGATTCCTGTGTGGCGTCCTGGACATTGGACACTATGTGTTAGTACAATACTTATTTGATATTGACCTTCATATTCACTGCATTTCTTGACACTTGTCTAATTCATGTAGTAGTCTGTGTTAGTGTTCACCATCAGTGTGACATATTATTTTTCAGATTCTGAAGCCTAAGCATAGGGAGATTTTCTTCCTTGATTCTCTAAGTGGCACTGGCTTCACAGATGAAAACCACATGAAAACATTAAGGTTTTATAGGAATAAGTTTGAAAGTGGCATGTGTTCAGTTTGTTGTTCCGTTGTTCCACGGAGGCAAAGGTTCAGCATTAATCTTCATATTTATGTAACAGTACATTTCCAAATTGAATTTGTGAATAACATTTTAATTCCTGAAATCTGAAACATACATTTTCTAAGCAGTCTTGTTTCATTTTAAACAAGACATGTGTTAAAGCTGGACCATCAAGAGACCGTTCTGTCTCACATCTGTCTTGCATTCTCATACATGTTCATAATTTTTCTTTTGTGAAATATGCCCTTGATAATTTTTAACTTAAAGACTTTGTATCATCAGAGAAGTCTGTCATCAGATGGCATCTGGACCCTGGACAGAATTTGTTGGAAATGATGTTAAGGTGAGATGTTATGA